CGCAGACTTATGCACCCAATCAATTTTTCTTCCTCGGTGTTGTTTTCCCATTGACGTGGACGTCGAGACACACTCACACATCGAGTCATTATTGGGCGGTGCAGCACGCCTGCCGCGGCAGTCACGGCTCGGCACTGTAAGGAAAACGCCAAAATGCGAAAGCTGCACTTGGCAACGGCCACCCTGCCCGCCGAGTGAGAGAGAGAGAGAGAGAGAGAGAGAGAGAGAGAGAGAGAGAGAGAGAGAGAGAGAGAGAGAGAGAGAGAGAGAGCAGACAGACAGACAGACAGAGAGACGTGGCGCCGGGCCGACGGCGAGGGGGGAACAGCTTCCCACATTCATTGTACAAAATTTGACCACATTCCACATTCAGGTGGCAAAAACGCCTGTAAGTAGGCAACATGTGCTGCAAAAACGCCAGGAATCTTGCACATTTTTGCACATTCACACAATCATTGTACACAAAATTTTACAGTGGGTCACCCCTTGGCCGACGGGCACGTCCCGAAACAGAGGCTTCCTTGTCCGCGCTGCGGAGTGTGGCGTGGACCCCATAGCCAGCAGATAAGTCGAGAAGGACCCTTCCACAAACTTTGCTTTTTCCTTATTGGCAAGCGCCATGAGCGATCCGTTTCGTAAACGCCAGGCGAAAAAGAAAAAGAAAAAAAAAGAGGGGGCGTATTGCACACATAACAACATACAGTACGACATGCAGGCCGGCCGGCCCGGTCGCGTTATCGCACGCCTAGAAGCGAAGCAGCGAAAACAAGAAAAGTGAACATTTTCCTCGGCCGGTCTTTGCGAAAACCGTGGAGGGCACAGTGGGCCAGAAGACCGGTGGAGGCGGCCAAAACTCTAGACGCGTTTTGAGCTCCAGAGTCGCTAAATGAGCCACGAACCGAACGTGTGACCCCACCAATGGACTCCACGTTCGGAGAGCAATCCATTGGTGGGGTCACACGTTCGATACGCGTCTAGAGTTTCGGCCGCCTCCACCGTCTTCTGGCCCACTGTCGAGGGCCGCAGCATTGAGGCACAGACACCGCGGCCCGCCTGAGGCCCGTGCCTGTTCTACCTGTATGTGGCATGGGAGTGCGACAATTATCGGACCATAGACAGCAGCCTGATTCCAAGAGTCGTTTTCGTCGTTCTGTCTCTCTCGCACGCATCGGGCGTCCCGTGTAGCCGCGACGGAGACAGAGTGACGAGAACGACTCTCGGAATCAGTCTGCAACAGCGCGGAGGCTGTGCAGCCAGACTCCCTGGCGTCTAGGGTCACCGCGGCGCGCCGGGCGGCGCCACCCCGCCACCTGCACGGGAAACTAGGTCGACGTGTTTTGCAGAGTCCCTGACGCGTTGTTCGCACTGCGTCGTACGTCAGCAGGGCCTGCAGTAACGCGGGCTGCAGTAACGGTGCATCGGTGTGCATCGGGCTCCAGCGGCGCGGTCGGCGCGGCGATGCACACTCTACAATCTGAAGTGTGTACTCAGTATGCATCTACAGATGCATACTTATAAGTACACACCTACAGATGCATACCTGTTAAGTATGCATCTGTAGGTGCATACTTGGTTAGTATGCATTAGTAGGTGTGTACTTGTCACCATATAAATGCCCAGTATCAAGTAACATCAATGCATACCTGTCAGATGCTCAGTAATGTGTACTCACCAAGGTATGCTCTGTAGATTGTACTCAGGCATAGGTATGCATCTGAGGTGGTACTTATAGATACATCTGTAGATCTACTGAGTAACACACTTCAGTTTTAGAGCGTGGGCCAGAATACCGGTGATGGGCCAAAAGTTCTAGCGCTTTTGAGCTCCAGGTTTGCATCACAACGATTCCGATTTCAAACGTGTAGACCCCTTCTGATGGATTCCGTCGTTCCGGAGGGCAATCAATGTGCGGTCACCCGTTCGGTTCGATCCCATTTAGCGACTCTGGGCTCAAACGGTCCTGATTCTGACCCCTCCACGGTCTGTGCCCCTGGCGGTGTGGCTGGGACGCCTGTGCGGGTAGGCAGCACGAGGCCTGGCGCCGCGGGACCGCCGCGCCGCACGGCGGCTGCATCGCCGCATTGCTGCATCGCGTGACGGAGCACCAGCAGACTGTCCGAGAGTCGTTTCCGCCGCTCGGTCTCTCTCGCGCTCATGGGGCGTCCCGCGCAGGTGCGAGAGAGACAGAGCGACGAAAACGGCTCTCGGAATCAGCCCACTGTGGAAACACAAACACCGCGGGAAGGAAGAAGACCCCGCGTGCTGATTCGGCAGCCACGGCGGCGCGGCGGCGGTCCAGCACGGCCCGGCGCAGCAACGAGGAAAGTGGCACCGCGACGACCGTGTCCGCGACCACCATGACGACGACGACGACGGACTGCAGCGTCAACAAAAGGCCTGCACATCCGGGACCTTCATTGACAGGGTGCTGCCTGCTGCGCCTGGCCCGGCCTAGGCAGGGCCTAGGACGATCTGTGCGCGCCTATGCGTGAATGTGCGTGAGTGTGTGTGTGTGTGGGGGGGGGGGTAGCGAGAGTGCGCCAACGACGCGGCGCGGGGAGGCCACGGATGGATCAGCTGTTTCCCAGATAACAGACCCGTCCGCGGCGGACGCGGCGGACGCCAGGAGACGGTTCTCGGGCCCTCGCGGTGGCCAGGAGGCGGTCTTGCGACGGCGGCAGTTTGAAATGCGGTGACTCGCCGCAGGCCCAGAAACGATCGCTCGGCTCGAGCAGTGGCCCAGTCCGCGTTGTTTTGTTTAGGGCGCCGCGGTCGAGTGCAGAACACACGCGGCATCGCCGACCCGGCGGACTGATTGCGAGCATCACGCTGTCTCTCTCTGTCTCTCTCTCTCGCAGTCACGGGCGCCCCGTGGCGTGCGAGAGAGAAGGCGGCGAAGAAAGCAGTGCTCGGAATCAGCCTAGCCGGAGATTATCGGCAGCCAATCGTGCTGATAACGCCCTGGCCCCGTGCCCTGCCCGGCACGCCGCGGCACGCCCGGCCCGGATGTGGGCGACGCTTCCTCATCTCGTAGGGCGTCTTCGTCTTGGCGTCTTCGTCTTGGCGTCTTCGTCTTGGCGTCTTCGTCTTGGCGTCTTCGCCTTGGCCTCCGCGCGGCGATCCTCTTGAGCGCTGATCCACGACGACGAGTCGCCTCTCGAGGTGCGAACGTAGACGCATCGCCACCGCATCAAAACACAGTGCAGCAGTGCAACGCAGCGCCCTACTTCTAGACGCCGGCGGTGGCGGCTGGCGGCACACCGCGGCACGCGGACTGCGCGCATATCCGTGAGAACCACCACACACACACATGCACACACACGTCGGTGAGAGAGCCCAGGGTGACACCCAACGCGCCTAGACAGCTAGGCGACGATGATGCGCGGGGAGGTCGACAACCCACTTCCAGATTCAGGCCCGACACGTGTACGCGTGCGCACCTAATCACACAAGTCGACAACGCCGGCAGTCGGCAGTCTGGTGAGGCGAGGCGGCGTGGCGGCCGGTGGCGGCAGTGCTTGCATGCCGCGCGTCCGGGTCGCACGGCCAGGGGCCGCCGTCGAAGCGCCGCAGTGCGTCGCAGTGTCACAGTCCACAGTGTCGCGGGAAGAAGGACAACCGCCGAGACAGTGATGGCAGTGGTGCAACCAGGGTCCCGGACCGCGGGACCGCGCACAGAGCATCACCGCAGAGCGAAGATAACCCCCGGCTTGCCTGCCGTACTCACCAGCGTGTGCTGATAGCTGTGGGCGTCCTGGGGAGCCCGCAGCTCGAGCTGCGTCTCGGGCTGCGACGTGGGCGGCATGGTGGCGGCGGAGGGCGTATCCAGCTAGGGGTGGTCGGTCACGTGGTCACGCACACAATCGCGCTCGCTCACAGACGGAGGCAGCGGCGCGGCGTCGGAGCGCGGCCGAGGACATCAAGTGCAGCACGAGGGAGTGCAGCGCCGAGCGCCGCGGGGCGGCAGGCTGCAGCGCGAATCAAGGAGAGCGTCGCGGGAGTTGGAGTCGGCGGGTGCCTCGAGTGCCTCCACACTCCATGGCGATTACAGTCCGACTGGGTCTGACGGACGGCCACGCCGACGGCCACGCCGGGGCACTGGGACTGACTCAGCTGAGGAAAGGAGCCCCGCGCCCGGGCCGGCGAGGCGCGGCGCGGCGCGCGCGGCGGGGCGCGGCGGGGCGCGGCGCGGTGGGTTGACGGGTCTCGCTCGCCGGCCGGGCGGCGTGGCGGCCACACACGACACACGTCAAGTCGAGGCGCGAGAACAGTGTGGCGGCGAAGGATGTTTCGCGGTGCAGCCGGTGTGGCCAGTCACCGTGGTGTGGTGTGCCCCCTGCGGCAGCGACCGCGGCCAAGCGAGGTGCATCTGTTTTGAATCGGCAGTGTGCCCGCAGAGGCGACGGTTTCCGGGCGCCGCCCGTTTTCGAGGTTATGTTGACATCGGCGTGCCGCCTGCCATGCCTGCCGCCAGCAGCACGCAGCTCGCTGACGGATAAAACCGGCTCAAGCCTCTCCGCTGTGCGCCGCTGCTGACGGATTACGATAAAGAGTTACGAATCGGCATCGGCCCCACCACGCAGGGCGCACCGCGCAGGGCGGCCAATGTTTTCGTCTCTCGTCATCGCGTGCGCGACCGGCGCGCCGCGTAGGATGGGTTGCCTGCCCCCGGGCGCCAGGCCTGCCAGGCTGCCAGGCCCAGGTGCAAACGTGGATGGATAGGCGCCTTCGTAGGGTTTTGGTGCCGCGCTGTTGGTAGCGCCGGGGCACTCTCTGTTGCTAGGACGACCCTCACTGTTACTCGCGGTCTAGACTCAGGTCCAACTCTGTCCTGTACTACTCCTGCTCCCGAATACACTTGGCCTGCACACTCCGGAGTACCTCCTCATTCCCGCTGCAATCCCCCGACGCCAAATCCTAACAATAGGTCCCCGGAGCCTTGTCTTTCCGCGATTCAAAAGGACTTATTTCGGGGAGAAATGTGAAATAAAGCAGGCTTGTGAATGTTTTAAACATTTTATTTTATAACATGTAGAATAAAGTATAAATTAAAACAGTAAATAACACAACTAATTTGTCAATTTGTAGTCTGTGATGGCCTCATTCCGCTCTAACTTTTAGTGAGGCGTTTCTTCAAACTAATCAACAATGACGGCTTTTCACCTTTTGCTGTGGAAGGTCATGTAGCTGCCAATTGTTGACATCTCAGTCTGTCTTATTGTCAAATCACTTTTCTATTACACATGTAATTATATGGTTAGAGAAAATTAATCAGTGTTTTTAACAGGTGTAGTTATTATGGCATTAAGTTCAATCTCAAATTATTGGGAGTCAAAAGCAAAGGGAGCTCAGGCATTCGTCCCTGCCCGCGTCCTAAACTGGATGACTTTACAAGTTAAAGTCATTCATTTTAGGACTCTTATTTTTACTCATAATTACATCGGAACTACTTACAACACGTCATTCAAAATATGGCAACTTTACATTTCTAAAATACGGTTATCTCACGCGTCCGTTGGTGGTATTTTATCGTTTTAGAAAAACAGTTGAAGACACATAATTTCAATGGCATTCCTTCTACTCCACGTTCTGCTGGCGGCAGAATGAATGGCAAAGGAATTACATTGACTCTCGCCGTCTTTCCGAGTCTTCCGACTGGACGGGACGGACTGTACCCAGAAGGTGGACCTCAAGGCAGGCCGCGGGGCCGGGGCCCCTGCCAGTGCCGCGAGGCCGAAGGACAAAGCACTAATGAGCAGATCTCAGGTGTATCTCAGGTGTATATCCCCGGGCAGCTTGGTTATTACTTTGTACTCAGTTACGCCGTGCATTCACTCGCCATTCACGCGTCCATCCATTCATCCATTCACTCGTCCAAATTCATTCATCCAATTTACAACTGTGCCTGCGAGCCCCTCCACGAGGCGCCCGTGTTGAGCATGGCGTAGCTGGTGGAGTAGGCCACGCTGCCGTACAGCTCCGAGCCGGGCGAGTGGTTGCCCTGCAGGAAGCGGTTCAGCTCCTCCTGCGTGTCGAAGATCATGACGGCGAAGGGCGACCCGGGGACGTGGTCGCCGGCCCACTTGACCTCGACGCGGTAGTCCCCGGGCTCCGTGGGGTCGAACTTGCAGAGGATGGTGCGGTCCTTCTGGCTGCCGCGCTGCATCTCTACGCGGAACGCGCCTGCGGAACACCGAGAGTACAAGTTAGCCGTGCAGGTGGACATTGGACATGGAAGCGGACACCGTCGGGCCAGAAGACCAGTGGAGGCGGCCAAAACGCTAGACTCGTTTCGAGCTCCAGAGTCGCTCAACAGGGCTCGAACCGAACGTGTGACCCCACCAAGGGATTCCTCGTTCGGAGAGCAATCCATTGGTGGGGTCTAAACGTTCGGTTCGAGTCCCATTTAGCGACTCTGGAGCTCAAAACCCGTCCGACATTTTGAGCGCCTCCACCGGTCTTCTGGCCCACTGTGCGTCGGCCGACTTGCCGAGGACTCACCTTTGGGACCCCTGATGCGCACGGTGAGCTGCCCCGCGCCCGCGCCGCGCGTGTCGCAGATGAAGCGCGACTGGAAGGTGGCCAGGACGCCGTGCTCCACGCCGGGGCCGTAGACGCGCACCTTGCTGGCGTCGGGGGCGCCGTTGACGCGCAGGGTGTAGGGACTACCCGGCACGTGCTCGCCTGGAAGGGAACAGGGAGTCAGTGACCTGCCCGCAGATGCGCTGTCATTACGCCACACGCTGCCGCGCGCTGCCCTGAGACTCACCCCCGTACTTGACGGTCAGGGCGTGGCGGCCCGCCTCCTGCGGCTTGACGTTGAGGGTGAAGGTGCCGTCGCCGTGGTCGTAAAGTTCGCAGTACGCCACCTTGTGCGGGCCGACGCAGTGTGCCGTCAGCTCGCCGGGGCCGGCGCGCCGCGTGTCGATGAAGGACCGGATCTCCTTGCCGACGGTGCCGACCCGCAGCCCGTCGCCCGAGCACATGACGCGCGAGGCGTCCGCCACGGCGGCCACCTGCACCTTGAGCGGGCACCCCTTGACCTGGCGGTCGGACCACATGACGTTGAGCAGGTAGGAGCCGGGCGCCGCCGGGGTGTAGGTGGCACGGAACACACTGTTGCCCAGGGGCTGCAGCTGCACCGGCACCTCCGTCTTCATGCCCGTGATGGACACCTCGGGGGAGCCTGCGGGACATGCGGGAAGGCGTCAGTCAGAGCGGCAACAGTCAGAGAACAGGGCCTCGGCGATGGACTCGGGATGCACTCACCAGGGCCTGCCTGCGAGCCGTCGATGGTGAACTCGGCCTCCTGGTGGCACTTGGCCGAGGCGAGGCCTCTGCCAGTCAGCACCACCCTGACGGGGCCCGCGCCCGCACTGCCCGCCTCCGCCACGCCCACCAGCGGCATCCTGGGCAGCGGGGCGCCGCCGTAGAACACGGTGAGGCGGTGCTCGCCCGGCGCGCGCGGCGTCAGCAGCAGGCGCTGCCGCGTGCCGCCCGCGCCGGCCGACTCCACGGCCACGGGGACGGTCTGGCCGTTGGGGCCCACGCACTCCGCCGTCAGCTGGCCGGGGCCCGCGTCCGCCAGGTCCAGGCTGATCTTCTTGGTGATGTGCGCGGCCAGCTCCAGGCGGCCGCGCGCGTCGCAGTGCGCCTCCCAGCCGCCGATGACGCGCACCTTGCGGGGGTCCACGATGCGGGGGTGGAAGGGCGAGCCCGTCACGTCGGCGCCGTCCAGGACCACGCGCACGTCGTGGACGCCCACCTCGTTGGGGGTGTACGTGACCAGGAAGTCGCCGTCCGGGGTGCGCTCCACGCGGCAGTCGACGGCGTCCTCGGGGCCGTCGATCTGGACCAGCGGCTCGCCCACCAGGCCAGCTCCGGAGACCTGCACAGACCTCCACGTCAGACGCGTCCGCGGAGTGCGGATCCGAGAGGATTGACATTTTTATCCGTTTGCTTACCTTGAAGGACGCCGTACTGCCGACGCGGCCGCCGACCAGTCCGTCGCCGTGCGCACGGGCCACGCCGGCCTCCTCGACGGTGAAGGTGACGGGGGAGCCGGGGATCTCCTCGCCGCCATAGGTGATGTTGAACCGGTAGCTGCCGGGGAGGCTGGGTACGAACTCGATGAGGTCGCAGTCCTTGTCGTCGGGGAACGAGTTCACTTTGAGCGGGAGGTCTTGGCCCAGCGGGCTCGTGACCATCACGTCCAGCTCCGCGAAGCCGGCCTGCTTGCGTTGGACTGTCGGACACGAGTCGGACACGGCGGTCATTAGGGGGCTGCCCAGGCTGAGCACGTAATCGCAAAATACCATCGGGCTACTCACGTTTGAAGGCGATCTTCTCGTTGACGGACACGGCGTGCGAGAGCGGCACGCCCCCCAGGGCCTCCACCTTGACCTTGGACGCGTCGAACACTTGGCAGTGGTACGGCGAGCCCCTGACCGCGCGCGACCCGTGCATCACCTCGATCTTGTAGAGGCCGGCGCTGTTGGCGGTGAACTCGGCCAGCAGGTTACCGTCCTTCTGCTGGTAGCAGCGCACGGGCACGGCCGTGGAGTGCGGCCCCGTGATGACCACGTCGAACTCCTTGGCGGGGTGGCCCAGGGTCTCGATGACGAACGAGGACACGCGGCCGGCGCGCGCCTGGTACAGCCCCAGCCCCGTGGCCATCACGTCCTGCCCCACGGCTGGGTTCTGCACGGCCACCTCCATGGGGCAGCCCGCCACGTGCATGCCGTTGTACTTGACGTCGATGCGGTGCGGGATGGCCAGCTTGGGGTGGAACACCACCTCGTACTGGCCCGTGCCCGAGTGCAGCTCGCGGATCGAGTGCTTGACGTCGATGCCCGCCGCGCGGACGGACACCGTCAGCGAGCCCGTGCCCGCGCCGCTCGTGTCAACCTGCGGGAAGAGGTGGCTTCAGTCAAACAATCCTTTGGTTGAATCCGGTTGAAGCAATGTTTGTTGGGGAAGCCGTACCTTGAAGGTGGCGGCGCGGTGGCAGAAGGCGTCACCCAGCTCGAAGACGCGCACGCGCTGCGGGTCGAACACCTGGACCTGCAGGGGCTGCTTGGTGAGCGGCTGCTGCTTGTGGTACACGGACACGGTGTGCAGCCCCACCTGCTGCGGCCGGTACTCGACGCGGATCAGCCCCGAGGGCAGGCGCGTGGCGGTGCAGGGCACGGCGCCGCCGTCCGGGCCCACCACCTCCATGTCGATGTGGCCCTCCAGCCCTTGGGGTCGACGTGGAAGTGCGCGGGCGCGCCGCGGACGCTCTCCTTGACGCCCACCATGCGCGACTCGCGGCGCTGCGCCTGCATGGCCTGCATGGCGCGCGCCTCCTTGGCGCCCAGCTCCAGCACCTCGCAGCGGAACGGACTGCCCGGCACGTCCTCCTCGTTGAAGGAGATGTTGACGAAGTGCGGCGTCTGCTCGTGCGGCACGAACGTCACGTCGTACAGGCCGCGCGAGCACGCCACCACCTCCGCCTTGACCGTGCTGCGGTCCGTGCTCACCACCAGCTCCAGCGTGCCCTCGCCCGCCGAGCAGGCGTCCACCGTGAACGTGGCGGGCTTGCTCACCTGCGGGAAGAGCGGCCAGTCAGCGTCAACATGATCCGGGAGGCCTCAAAGGACCTCTGATGCAGGGAGGAAGAAGACCGGCGCCGGCGGCCAAAGCTCAGACGAGTTTAGAGCCCCACCGACGGTGGACTCGAACCGAGTGAGTGACCCCACCAATGGGATCACACGCTCGGTTCGAGACCTGTTTAGTGACTCTGGAGCTCAAAACTCGTCAAGAGTTTAGGCCGCCTCCACCGGTCCCCTGGCCCACTGTGCGATGTAGTCCGTCGCCGCACCCACCTTGCACTGGCCCAGCCCCGTGACCTTGATCTTGTTGACGTCGTACACGTTGCAGGCGAACGGGCTGCCGCGCACGGGCTCGCCATCCAGGGCGACGGTCACGCTGTGGCGGCCCACCTCCTCGGGCGTGAAGGCGGCCGTGAACTTGTTGTCGGGGGACTGCGTGATGGTGGAGGGCAGCGTGCGGCCCGACGGCGCCAGGACGCTGATGGAGCACGTCCCCCCGCCGGGCGGCACGGGCCCGTTGCCCGCTTTCTGCGGGTCCACGGTGATGCTGGCGGGCCGGCCGAGGGCGCACGCCTTGAGCCCCGGCCCGGACACCAGCACCTGGCTCCAGTCCAGCACCTTGCACGTGAACGGCGACCCTGCGGACAGGCGGACAGTCAGAGGCGGACAGTCAGACGGCGCGTTCCGGTGGAGGTTCATGCGGGACATTCCCGTCGCTGCGAAAAGCCTTACCGGGCACAGGCTCGCCGTTGAACCTGACGCTGAGGCTGTGCGGCGCCGCCTCCTGAGGCTTGAAGTTGACCTTGAACTTGGCGTTGCCTTCGGACTGCACGTAGTTGGGGACGTTGCAGCCGTTGACCGACACGATGATCTCCAGGTTGCCGGCGCCGGCCTGGCTCGCGTTGACTGGAGGGCAGAGACAAAGCGGGATGAGAAATTTTTGTCAACGTGGAGGCACACTGCAAGAGGACCATATACGCAAAAAGGGCCGCCTTCCCAGACGCCGGTTTGAGTCCGGGCGCTTTAACTGGGGCTCGTAGGCCGAAGCGGGGGTGACCCACCGGATTGCCTCCCAAAGCGGGTCCCAGTCGGCGGGCGTCAAGTCACGGTTCGGCCCTGGGCCTAGCCGGGCTCGCGGGGGCTCCAAAGCGGGCCCCGCGAGGCCGCCTCCCCCCGGTCTCCCGCGGCCCACTGTGCACTGGAAAGAGCGACCTATACTTACTGCTGAAGAAGACCGCCTTGCCCACGGTGCCGGTGTTGATGTCCGTCACCTTCACCTTGGCGGCGTCGTAGGCCTTGACCAGGAACGGGCTGCCCTCGACGTGCGCGCCGGCCACCTTGACCTCGACGCTGTGGTCGCCGACGTCGGCGGGCGTGAAGTGCACGGTGTAGCGGCCCTGGCCCTGGCCGGCCTGCGCGGGGGCCACGTCCACGAGGAGCGGCCTGCGCGACGGCGACAGCACCTGCACCTCGGGGGCGGTCTGCCCCGCGGCGTCCGACTCGACGGTGAAGGCGGCGGGCCGGTTGACGGCCACCTTCTCCAGGCCCTCGCTGGTCACGACGACGCGCGCCGCCTGCGACACGCGGCACTGGAACGGGCTGCCGGGGACGTCCTCGCCGTTGAAGCGCAGGTCCACGGTGTGCGGCGCGGCCTCCCTGGGCGTGAAGGAGATGGCGTACGTGTGCGGGCCCTGCGCCTGCGCCGACGTGGGCACGCGGCCCCCGTTCACCGTCACCTCCAGGTTGCCGGGGCCCGCCTGGCTAGTCTCCACTGGAAATGAAATAGGAAACTGTTAACATGCGCCTTTCCAATGCGGAGTTTGGTTTGTAGGCGGAGGTTTTCGACTCACGTACCCAGGAAGGTGATGGGCTTGCCGACGCTGCCCAGCGCCACGTCCTTGACCTTGATGGCGCGGACGTCGTACACCTTGCAGCTGAAGGGCGACCCCGCGACGGCGGCGCCGCGGTACGCCACGGTGACGGAGTGCTCGCCGACCACGCGCGGAGCGAACTCCACGTGGAACACTTGTCCGCCATTGTCTTTGACTTGGGCCGGCACAGCCTGTCCGTTCGGTCCTGGATGCGGTTCGTAAGGCAGTGTGAGGCAGCGCTCAGTAGAAAGGAGAACCATATTATCGATTAGGGCGTGGGGGGCAGTCCTTGATTAGTAGACAGGCACCACGATGACGGGGAGGGGCGGAGGGTTTTAGCAGTGGTATGTACAAACAGGGTGGTTATTTCGTAATGACTACCGTTATGGTTACATCCCGATTTCGTTTCGCGGGAGTTACTCTAAGTTCTATCCGTTCCGGAGTGCCTACACTAGTGGTATCTTAGTCCTACTTCGATTAAAAGCGAAAACTACGTGACAACGCGAGCGTCTGGTGCCTAAACTGCTTTGTTTGAGCGAGTTTGACCGCCACGACAGCCTCATTTGATGAGCAAATACTTTTCGGTTAGCGACGTCAACTTAAAGGCAAAGTTATAAGCCCTACACCTGCTTAGTAAAACCCGGGAGAAGGCAGATTGCATTGGGCAAGTCAATCATTCAATCGCCGCTTAAAGTGATCGAATGATCAAGCTGCCAATCGAGCAGCAGTTTGACAAAAATAGATCGTTTCTATGTACAAAATCTATCTAACAACTCAAGAACCGCGTGAAAAAAATGCCGCGGCACGTTGAGACTAGTCATGACTATGTTCTGAATGTCTTTCTTCTTTTAGTCTAGGCGAACCAAATTCAGCAGCTGAGTGCTATGGCTTTTATCAGCATCATATTCTGACTAGAATTAGTTGAATAAAATGAAGTTGAAAAACAAGAGGGAGAACGAAAGCACGATTCGAACAGAGTCCAAAGAAAACATGCAGGGAAGCAAGGATACAAAAAATAAAAGGCACATAAATGAAAGAGACATGCAAGCCAGAACACCATTCAAGCTGTTTTCATGCGGGAAGCATTTCTTATTGCAAGTCGTTAATAAATTGCACAGAGATCGCGCAAAAGTATAAAAGATTCGTATATCGTTTCGTTTCGTCCGCGTCGGGAGTGACGGTGTGTGCAGTGGTCAAGTCTAAATCGTCTAGTGTCGTCGCATTCTGTACGGGGAGTTCCTTCCTGCAAAGACGAACAAGAGAGAGACCGTGATATAACAGTGGGGCAAGAAGAGTCAACCACCAGTGTGCAAAAGGGGGGCGATTCGCCTCGGGGGCTGCGGGGGCCCAAGTAGTGCTCTATCTAGGACTTACCGTGACTGTCACAGGCCTGGGCAGACCCGAAACGAAACACAAAACACTAGAATTACTTTTTTTCTGCATGAAACGGTGAAAAGTTTACTCGCGTTGCATTGGTGTCGTATACACAACAGGGAAGTACTCTCAGGGGGTGTAAGCAAGCGGGGAAATCGCCGCGACAACAGTAGTCAGGAAGAAACAGTTTGAGTAGCAGATTAGAGTACCCTGGGATCCACAACGCGCCCAACGAACATGCCTCCCGGACGGGACGACGGGGTGGTGCAGGGGTGTGGAGGGGTGTGGAGGGGTGGGTGGGCCTGGACTACTCGCAGTGTACCGGACGCCCCCTCGCCCTGGAGCCCTGCAGCACACTCACCCTCCACGTTCACTTCGATGTCCTCGACGCTGCCGCCGACGTTGTTCATGGTGAAGTAGGACGTCTTGCCGACGGCGGCCGACGACAGCGACGGCCCGCTCACGGTGATGTGGTGCGGGGAGTCGCCGGCGACGCGCGCCAGGAAGGGCGACCCGGGCACGGGCTCCTTGTTGAAGTTGATGCTGATGACGTGGTCCGTGGGCTCGATGGGCACGAAGCTGACGGCGAAGCGCGCGTTGCCCTGCGGGTGCACTTGCGTGGGGATGTTGTGGCCGCGCGCGCTGATGGTGATCTCCAGGTTGCCCTCGCCCGCCTCGCTCGCGTCCACTGTAAGGACGCACGCGTGTTAGCAGTGTCCCAGCAACCCGGCGTCCTGGTGTCCGCCATCCGTCAGCTGCCGCCTCACAGTGGGCTAGAAGGCCGGCATCGGTGGCCAAAAGTCTGTAACGCGTTTTGAGCTCCGGAGTCGCTAAGCAGGACTCGAACCGAGCGTGTGACCCCATCAATGGATTTCTCGTTACGAGAGCAATCCATTGGTGGGGTCACACGTTCGGTTCGAGGCCCATTTAGTGTCTCTGGAGCTCAAAACGCGTTCGGGATTTTGACCGCCTCCACGGGTCTTCTGGCCCACTGTGCGCCTTGGCCGCGGGCTTACCCATGAACTGCAGCGTCTTGCCGACGGCGCCCTGGGGCAGCGGGCCGACGAGCACCCTCTTGGCGTCGTAGGCCTTGGCCACGAAGGGCGTGCCGCTGACGGGGTGGCCGTTGTACTCCACGGTGATGGAGTGGGCGCCGACGTCGCGCGGGGTGAACTCAGCCGTGAAGCCCGAGTGCACGTTGCCCGTCACCTTGACGGGGAGCTCCGCGGTGGGGCCACGGATGGACACGGCCAGCTCGGCGCTGCCCGACCTGGTCACAAAAAAGCCAAACGTGAGTGAGGGAGTCGGTGGGATTCGAACCCGCGGCTGCGCGGTGGAGCACTCACCCGTCCACGGCCATGTGGAAGCGCGCCACCTCGTCGACGGGCACCAGCTCCAGGTTGCGCAGCGTGAGCGACACGCGGCTGGTGTCCGACACGGCGCACACGAAGGGGCAGCCCGCCACCGTCTCCCCGTTGAACTTGATGTCGATGAGGTGCGGCTTGGTCTGCTCCGGCGTGAAGCTGACGAGGCAGCGGCCGCCGCCCACCACCTGCACGTGGTTCGGCACCTCGCCCTCGTTGATGGAGATCTCGAGCTGGCCCTCGCCCGCCTGGCTGGCGTCCACTGTAAAGCAAACCGCTTGAACGTCTTTCTTTTTGGCAGTGTGGCAGCGCAATTAGCGACCGCCACTCCTTTCTCCGACTCGTCCACACATGGCCATGCCTTGGCCATGCCGGCAGTGACTGCCCGTGGCTGCCGGCAGTACTCACCCCTGAACTGGCACGGCTGCCCCACCACGCCGCTGCCCACCTCGGTGACCCGGATCAGGCTCGAGTTGTACACCTTGGCGACCAGCGGGCCGGCGGCGAGCTTCTCGCCGGCCAGCGACACCTCCACGAGGTGGCTGCCGACCTCGTTGGGCGTGAACTCGATGCGGAACATGCCGCCGCCTTCCTCCATGAGCCGCGCGTTGAGCGGCCGTTTGGAGGGGCCTGCAACACGACGCCACCGTCAGCACCTGCATGGCCGCGTGGCTAAGGCGACCGTCGCGCACGTCGAAGGTCGTGGGTTCGAAACCCGCCAGCGCTGGCTACTCACTCATGATGTGTACGTCAATGTCGGCGCGCTTGAAGCCCAGCGCGCTCAGCTCGAAGGTGGCCGTGGTGCCGGCGGCGACCAGGCGCACCGCCTCGCCGAGCACCGACATTTTGGGCCCGGCCATGACTGCGACCTGCCAGGGGCTGCCTGCAACACGATAAAAAACTCTTTCACTCCTGCTTTCCAACCTGCAATGCTCCACTGCCGGCGTAGTGGCTTAACGACGCGGTTAAAGACCAAGACCGTCCTGCCGTCGCGGAGTTCTCTTTTTAATATGACGGCTGGCTTTGCCAAATGCACCGTCTCTCTGGATGTTTGGCTTCCGATCCGCGGGAAGAGAAATCTGGAATTTGGCGAGGCGGTAGGGGCGCAGCAGCACCGCCCCCGGTCACGGCGTCGCGTCGGCCCGGCGTCACGCACTTGGCTGCGTTTTGGCGCCGGCCAACGGGGACGCACGACCCGCCATGGCAGGCGCTGTCTCTCTCGCACCGCTTCGCAACGCCCCACGAGTGCGAGAGAGCACGACACTGTTCAGAATGAGGCCGACGACGAGGGCGGCGACGGGCTGCATGACGACGGGGGCAACTAGAGCGGGGCGACGACGCGGTGCCCCTCAGGTGGCTGCAGCACTGCTGCACAGGCGTGGTGACGCACAGTGGGCCAGAAGACCGGCGCAGGCGGCCAAAACTCTCGACGCGTTTTGAGCTCCAGAGTCGAAAACAGGACTCGAACTGAACGTGTGACCCCACCAATGGATTCCTCGTCCGGAGAGCAGTCTATTGGTGGGGTCACACGTTCGGTTCGGGTCCTGTTTAGCGACTCTAGCTCAAAACGCATCTAGAGTTCTGGCCGCCTGCACCGGTCTTCTGGCCCACTGTGTGACGTCACGCGGGGGGTCTTGGCCGCCTTCGCTTTCTCGTCTCGCACACACGTCCCTACGCCCACGCGTCCGACGCGCCCGCCCAGCTGCGGAAACAACTAACAGCGCACCGCGGTGGGGATGGGGCATGACGCATCGACACACAGAGAGGTGCGCGAGCCGCACAGTGGGCCAGAAGACCGGTGGAGGCGGCCAAAACTCTAGACGCGTTTTGAGCTCCAGAGTCGCTAAATGGGACTCGAACCGAACGTGTGACCCCACCAATGGATTGCTCTCCGAACGAGGAATCCATTGATGGGGTCACACGTTCTGTTCGAGTCCCATTTCGCGACTCTGGAGCTCAAAATGCGTCTAGAGTTTTGGCCGCCTCCGCCGGTCTTCTGGCCCACTGTGAGCCGCCAGCCAGCTGTGTTTTGGCCTTTGGGGCTGTGGAGTTGTTCAGACCAAAACGCGGTGAGTCTCGGAAACGGCGCTTGGAGCACGGCCTTGGCGTTTGCCGGTTTGCCGCCGGTGGAAGGTTCATTTCCTGTGTGCACGCCGTGCACGCCGTGCTGCCGCGCGCGGCGCTCGGCACTCCGCTGACGGCGACGCCACGGCCACGCCCACCACGCCCCGCGACGCGCCGCGACTGCAGACGAGCGCAAACTCATTCTATTCACATCTGAGAGTCGTTGTCAGCAAGCTGCTGCCGAACTGGCGTCGTGGCGCTCTGTCTCTCTCGCACCCTTACCGCCACGCCCAACGAGTGGGACAGAGAAGAGCGGTCACTGCTCGGAGTCGGCCTGCCGCAGATTGGAGCCGCGAGGCGCGACCGACCACTGTATCGGGGGCCGTCCAATAATGGCGGACATCGTCACTCTGCCTCTCTCGCACCCCTGCGTCACGCACCCTTGAGAGCGAGAGAGACAGAGCACCGCTCGGCCCGCAGTGTAGTGGAGGCGCGAGGCGGGGCGGGGCCGTCCAACAATTACGTGGCAATCGTAACAACAATCCCCCCAATTTACAGTGAAGGTGTTACCCAACCGAAGGTGTTCTCGCCGCCGCTGTCCGGCCGGCATGTCCGGCCGATAGCATCACGCTGGCGACCTTGATGGGCGTGACCGTGAGTGTAAATTGTGGGCGGAGGAGAATGGGAGACAGAGGAACCTATACGGCTCCTGCCGCTGCCGGTGATGTAACAGAGAAGGCACCGCGGCACTCCGGGCGAGAGGAGCGGCGCGTCGACCGGATGGCCGGATGGGTGAAAAGCCGAGCTGGAATGCTGGAGAATTGGCTGGGCTGGCTGGAGTCCAGCCGCGGCGCGGCGTGGGACGGGGCGGGACGCGGGGCTCTAGGTAACGAGGCGCTTAAACTTGGATCTGGGGGGACGCCGCTGGAAGAAGAGGCAGAATCGGACCGGAGAAAAGCGGCTTGGGGGGCAATGGGGCTGGAGACGGAAGGCTGGAATGCCTGGAAGGCCGATAACGCGGCCGCAAGGAGTCCTGCCTGGAGTCCTGGACTGCTGGCACACCGCTGGCACCGACCGGGCGAGGGGCCGGGCCCAGCCACGGCCCAGCCGCGGCCCAGCCCAGGGGCGGACTGGAAGGAAAGGGGAGGGGGGCGAACCGGTATCCATGCATGCCCGCAGTCGGCACGTCGCATACCGACGCCGCGCCGCGCGTGAGTAACCGCCTAATCCACCTGTCGCGCGGCGTTCCACGTTCCACGCATCCACCAGTCGGCCAGGTTCACTGGACCAGGGGTCAGCACGCCAGCACCACGGGCAGGGCCTGGCCGGCCTGGCCGCCAGGCTCACTGGACGGGCATCTCTGGTCGAGCGGTACTCGCGGGGCGACGCCTGGGTCCACCTCGTTGAGGTCCTTGGCATGCCTCGGCACCGGTTGTGTATCCACTGTGTATCCATTTTGTCTCCGCTGGCTCCTGGCGCCACCCGTGCCGCTGTGGCTCCACCGCGGCGAGTCATCGCCAAGGCATCGCCAAGGCATCGCACACACTGCGATCGAAGCGCGCCGCTTTCCCATCGGCAAGAAAGTGCGGGCCGCGAGGCAGACTGGCGGACGGCGCGGCCCGGCCGCCGTGATCGGCAGTCTTGGCGTCTTGGCTACGTCTTGGCTGGCTGGGCTCCTTCAGCGCGACGCCCAGGCGACGCCGAGACGCCCAAAGTGACACTTCCTGGGCGCGCACAACGCGTATCCATCGAGGGCCGCGTCCCCCATTCACGCACTCACGCACGCTCACGCCGCACCGCGAACCTTACCCTCGAGAGGACGTCGGGGAAGTCACTTGAAACGTCAATTTGTCACTTTGTCACTGCACACCGTCACTCCGTCACTCCCGACGCGGACTCCGTCATCACCGCGGATTCAGCATTGTAAAAAGGACGCGGTCGCGTCGCGGAGCAGCGCGTCGACCTGCTCGTCGAGGGCCTCTACCAAGACTGACTGGCTGCTGGCTGGCCGCCGCCGCGCCCCGCGCCGCGCTTGGGGCTTGGGCCTCTCGCCGGCGCAAGGCGTAGCACGGCGTGGCGCCGCCAGCTCGGGCTGGCCGCCTCTGCCTCGGCGGTCCGGGGCGCGGCGGCGCGGCGGCGGGGGAGGAGAGGAGGGCGGTAGGGCGGCGACCTACCTGGCGGCCCGGCGGCCTGGCGGTGCGGCCTGGCGTGCCGGCGGTGGGAGAGAGATTGCACGCCCCCCTCCCCTTCCCCACCTGCCCGAGGAGCCCGAGAAGGCAGCAACAACAAAAGAAACAACAACAGCGACCGGGGCTACCTTAGCAGGCGCGCCCCATCAGGTAGGTGCCTTCCAGAGCACCCGGCCCTGGCCGCCCGGGCAGCGCAGGTGCAACACGTCGCCCATTCATTGGAAACAGTCCTCCTGGAGCCCGGCAGGCAGGCCTGGACGCCGTCCCCTGGTTGCAGGGAAGTCCAGGGAAGTCCAGGGAAGTTGGCCGCGGCGCTCGCGCTGCGCTGCATGGGGCCGTGCTGGCCGCGCTGCTGCCCTTCACGGCCGCGTCCGCGCCGCGAGTGCGTCGCCCCGCCGCGGAACCGCATTCCAGTGTACCTAGCCCAGCCCAGCCAGCCCAGAACAACGCGCGGCGACAAGTCGCGCGGCCGCGCCACGCCTGGCCGCGCCAAGCAGTGCAGCAACCACGACGACGGACGGCGGCTCCACCCAGATGTACTCTGCGATTCCTTGGCACCCACGCGCCGCGCGGCCCACGCGTCGCGTGCGTCACGGCACTGCATGTGGCGGTGCCAGCGCGGTGCCGCCGCCGAGTGCCGCAAGGACTGCAACGCCCCGGACACCCACAGCACGGCCGGCTTGTAGAGCGCGGCGTGCAGCCACGGCCAGCACACTGTGGGCTAGAAGACCGGTGGAGGCGGTCAAAATCCCGGACGGGTTTGAACCCCAGAGTCGCTAAATGGGACTCGAACCGAACGTGTGACCCCACCAATGGATTGCTCTTGAAACGAGGAATCCATTGGTCGGGTCACACGTTCGGTTCGAGTCCCATTGAGCTCCTCTGGAGCTCAAAACGTGTCTAGAGTTTTGGCCGCCGGCGCCGGTCTTCTGGCCCACTGTGCAGCACCTCGCCGATCAGGAACGCGGGGCGTCCAGGCCGCTGCGCTGACGCCGCGCTGCAGGTGCCGGTCGGCTGGCCGCCGCGCGCGCCGCCACCAGCAAGTCGCGCCTTCGTCGCTCTGTCTCTCTCGCACCCCGACGGAACGCCCCGCGAGTGCGAGAGAGACGGAGCGGAGTCACACTGACGGATGGACCAGGATGACGCGGCGCTGGAACCTGTTAGTGCCGCCCGGCGCCTTGGCGGCGAGTCACTGCGAGTCACGCCGTCATGCACTGTACAGTGTACCCGTCGAGGAATCTTTCATAACGCGCTGTGACTGGCGCTGGCGGGCGAGTGGCGTGTGCCAGGCCCTGGCCCCGCCAAGGACCCTCTCACACACAACGAGGAACCGCCAGCCCGCCAGCGCGCCGCAGAGCGAGAGAGCGTTTCTACTAAAACGCCCAAAACGGCTGGGGTTTAACATTGGCCACATTCGCCGAGGCTAGCCAGCGCGAACAGCATAGGAATCACGATCCAATGCCCCCCCCCTCCAGCTTTTCGCCCGTGACCACATGTGGCGCCGAGGTGCGCTCCGCCTGGCTACGCCCTGCCCGTGCCGTGCCCGCCCCGCCTGATGTGGTCCCTGTGGACCCACAGTGTGGGTCCGTTGGGCCCCTTGCGGTACCCTGTACTGTATGCACGGGCCGCC